AAGGAGTACTAACACACGCTACAACATGAAGAACCCAAAAAATACGCTCAGTGAAAGATATCAGTCACTAAGGATCATATGAGCTGATGTTCATTATTCAGACATGTAGAAAGTATAGCTGATTTTTATTATTAAGCCCAGCCTTTAAGAATGCTGAGTTTCCCCCCAAAAAATTTGGAACTGAATCTTCCTTAAAATGATCTGATTTCAGAGAAGGAACTATCATTGGAATTTTGAAGCTTACTCCTTTTGGCTGCTTTTACATTATCCTATATAATAAAAGGCTAATATGCAAATTGACCAAAAGGCAGATTGGTCTCTATGATGTGCACTGACCACTAGGGGGCAGACGCTCAACCTGGGAGCTGCCCTCTGGTGGTCCAGTGCGCTCCCACAGGGGGAGTGCTATTCAGCCAGAAGCTGGGCTCATGGCTGATGAGTGCAGAGGAGGTGGCAGGAGCCTCTCCGGCAATGCTAAGGACCCCTTGGGGGATGTCTGCCTGCCAGCTTAGAGGGCAGAGGTCGAGCACTGGGTTTCTAGTAAGAAATAATCTCCTACACCCTTTTCAGCCAAGGAGAAAAAAATCTGAATCTCCTTTGGATCACAGAATAAATTAAAGTTATAAAACCTGAACTGTATTACCAGTGACTAGTTGGCACCACAGAAGGTAAATATCCACTGATCAATGAGGGGGGAAAACCTATACAATTTTGGGTGTATGATCACTAAGCAGATTTTGCACATGATCAGCAAAATCAGCCTGAGCTATGAACTGAGGAACAGCCTGAGTGGCCACTGTCTGTGGCTGGCAGCAGTGGTTTCCCATTTCCCTAGTCAGCAGGGCTCGCTTAGATGTGAGGGGGTTCATGGTGCAGTGCAGCCCATGCAGCGCTGGTTTCAGTAGGTCAGACCATCAAGAAGAAATGATATCCTGGCATAGGGAGTCAGGAGCCGGAGGAGGTTGAAAACAGTCTCTGGATTCAGGCGGATCTGGGTTTAAGTCATGCCTCCGTTATTTATAAGCTATCAGCAAGTTCAGGCAACAGACTTAACCTCTTTGAGTTCAGTTTCCCTTTTTTGTTTGGAGATATATCAGTTTATTTTTCTATAAAATGGGAAGCAATACTTTTTATAAGGATTAAGTTTAAGAAGTAAATGAATTTAAATGAAATAATAAAGGTAAATGCAATCATTATGATTTAGGGTAGCTGGCCATTTCAAAAAATTATGAAGACTTTATTTATTTGTTAATCCTCACCTAAGAATATTTTTCTATCGATTTTTAGAGAGAGTGGGGGGGGGTTAGAAAGAGAGAAACATCGATGGGAGATACATCAATTGGTTGCTTCAGGATTGTGCTTGCAACTTAGATATGTGTCCTTGAGCAGAATCAAACCCGGGTCCCTTTAGTCTGAGGGCCCACACTATCCACTGAGCCAAACTGGCTAGGGCAAGACTTTACCTTTTTAGAGCAGTTTTAGGTTCATAGAAAAATTGAAGAGAAGGTACAGAGATTTCCGATATAACCCCTTCTCCTATACATATCTGGCCTGCCCCATTATTGACACCCTCATTGTAACAAATGTACCACCCCAGAATGGTACATTTGTTATAACTGAGCAATCTTCACTAATATGATACATCATCACCCAAAGTCCATAGTTTACATAATGGTTCATTCTTGGTATTATACATTGTACAGTATCATGACATGTATCTGTCATGTATGTTGTAATAGAGGCATACCTTGGAGATATTGTGGGTTCAGTTCCAGACCACTTCAATAAAGTGAATATTAATTATAATAAAGCATGTCACATGAATATTTTAGTTTCATAGTACATATAAAAGTTATGGTTACTAGTACACTATACTGTAGTCTATTAAATATGCAATAGCATTATGTCTAAAAAATCAAGGTACATATCTTAATTTAAAAGCACTTTATTGCTAAAAAATGATAACCATCACTTGGGTCTTCAGTGATGGAGGGTCTTGCCATGATGTTGATGTAGAACTTCTTTCAAAATTGGAGTCAATCCTCTCAAACCCTGCTGCTGCTTTATCAAGTAGGTTTATGTAATATCCTACATCCTTTGTTGTCATTTCAACAGTCTTCACAGCATCTTTAGTAAGAGTAGATTCCATTGCAAGAAACCACTCTCTTTGCTCATCCATAAGAAGCAACTCCTCATCGGTTCAAGTTTTATCATGGGACTGCAGCAACTCAATCACACTTTCAGGCTCCACTTCTAATTCTAGTTTTCTTACTATTTCCACATCTGCAGTTACTTCCTCCACTGAAGTCTTGAACCCCTCAAAGTCACCCAGGAGGGTTGGAATCAACTTCTCCCAAACTCCTGTTAATGTTGATATTTTTATCTCTTCTTTTGAACCATGAATGTTCTTAATAGCAACTAGAATGGTGAATCCTTTCCAGGAGTTTTCAATTTACTTTGCCCAGACCCACCAGAGGAATCACTGTCTATGATAGTCTTA